ATGTTTGGCAGAATTGTGCAAGCGCTTCCTTTTCTGGCATGGTGTTTGCCCCAGGAAAATCACAAGTACTGCTTTGTTTGGCTGTGAATGTGAGCTGTCATTTGACTGAATTCTGCAATCAGAGAATTCCCTCTGCACTCTGCTTTAAGTCACCAGACCTCTCCTTCCCTCTCTTTCTTGATCTTTTCAATGTTGGACGCTTGCTGTCTAGTTTTACCCTGACTGTCAGCTTTGCACACACAGTTGAAACAGGGCCCGGAGTGGGAGGTGGGCGATCTAGAAAGTCATCGCCCTTCATTTTTGCTCTTTCTGCCTTACCACTTTACCTTCAAAGAGTGCCTTGGAAATGGCTTGTTCTTTAATAAGGTCAACATGTATAAGTCGTTGTTTTTAATCCACATGCAGGTTAGTTTGGGGGTTGTGTTTATAGTTGCTATTATATATAGGCAATGTTGAATTACCCCATAAGCAAGGTTAGTAGGGGTGTACTTAATAATCTCTAATGAACAATTTCGCCTTTTTTTCCCTGACCATATCAAAGATTCTTCTGATATGACTGGCCTCTGACTCTCTCCCACCCCCCAGCACCTTCCTACAGAATCAAAGCCTCTCTATACTGACTATCCCTGCAGGGATGGAGGACTTAGGAGGCTTGCTTACTTATTCACTAATCTGTAGTGAGTAAATTCATGTGGTTCTCAAAGATGTGAACAGCATGTGACACTGTTCACTACAGATTAGCAAGAAAGGAAAAGTAAGCTCAGGCATACTTACTTACTGGGTAATTCACCCTATGTCCTGGTAGGAAAGAAATTACTGTTTTTGCTTGTCATCCACTCTCTTTCTTATTAGTGAGTAATGCCATAATTAAAAGGCCAGCCTTCCTGCCTCTCATGTCTGAACTCACGTACCCAAGCATCTTTTCAGTACCCGACTCTTATCGGATGCCGATCCCCATCTTGCATCAGCAGGTGTAAATCATCCCAATCAGCAAAGGCTTTATCTGGGCAACCTAATGAGATTAGCACTGAAGCCTGCACCACCTGTCATTTCCTGGGTTACATTCCCTGATCATTGTGACTAATGCCTTAATTGGTGTGCTTGCTTTTAGTGCGCCTTCTAATGGAGTGTGTCTTGCAAAGGAAATATTGCTCTTAGGTGAAATTACATGCTACGGTTTAACAAAATGTCCTTCCTCTAACTTGGATTACTAAGCATAAGAGAGCTCTTGCTTGACTGGGACTAGTGAAATATAAGAAGTTAACTTCCCTTCTATTGCTTTGTTTTGTTTCATTCCCCCCAGCCCCCCTAACTTGGTCGGAATGCCGAGTAGCCTAGTTTGGGATACTTTGTGCTAGGGATATTCCAGCTCCGGGCAGCCTGGGGTTACAGCCTGGCCAACCCGGTCACTTACCCTCTCTGTGCTGTGGTCTCCTGCCCCGTGAAGTCGGGGTAATAATGTAGAACTCGGTGAAAGAGTACTTGAAAATTAGATAAGCCTCATAAACATATAGACAATGCCTGACACATAGTAAATATGGAGGGGGAAATGTTAGCAGCTCTTTGAGGTCAAACCTGGAGTCACCAGCTGAGAAGTCTAGCAAGTTGGAGTACCCTGACACCCTTTTTCCTAAAGAAGCCTCGCACAGGAGTGGGCTTAAAAAGTTGATGGGGAAATCCCATTGTCTTTTCTTTTGTTCTTTTTCCAGTTTAATCTCCTGTTTTTCAAACTTGACTTTTATTGTACATTAGGTAGGGCTTCCGTTATCTTTCACTTCTATTTCTCCTCAGACTTGAAAACCCCTCCACTGCAACCCTTTTGCTGATTTTCCTGGCCTTTCATGTTTATTCAATTCATAGGGTTTTATGTAAACTCATAAAATTTATATTTCACATCACTCCAAAATACTAAAATGCCAGAGACCTGCATCTGGTCTTGTGTCCTGGATGTGCCCTCAGGAACTGGTAGCCACCGCCTGAAAGTAGGTTCAGCTGCCTTTGAAGAGCGCGGCGCTCGGAGGGTTGACTAGATGACTCTGAGGGCTGGGCCCCTCCCACCACCACCACCCACTACATTTCATTTCCCCAGGGAGGCCTCTGTCTTTTGTGGTTGTCGTTGTCTTCTGCTCATGATGTGTTGCCCCACGGAGTGACTGCGGTACCGTTTCCTTTCCATTCTGTGGACACCACATGACATGTGGCTGGTTCGCCGTTGTGGGCTTGATAGCAGCTCTGAGCCCAGAGTTGATCAAATTTGCCTGAAAAGCAATTCAAGGCCAATGTTTCGGTTGGGTCTTGTTCCCTGCCCGCAAGTCACTGTATGGAATTTAAACTGACCAGATCAATAGGACGGGTACTTGCCCACGTGCCTGTAATTAAACAAAGTGCTCTCCATAGGTTTTCTGAGTCTTGTTCCAGATTTAATTAAATTAGATCTTTAATGTATTCAGTTAACAGATTGTGCTGTTTTGCAGAGCAGTAACCAAGAAACATCAGGCAGACAATTTATATTATTGGTCCCAGTTCATTATTAAATGAGATAATCATTTATTTCTGTGTGTTCTGTAATATAACCATTCATTTCCTCCTCCTTGAAGAAGTGGCCTTAATTTAGACAAGGTAGAATTAATGGCTCTAGAAAAGAGGCACTTTGTTCTTCCTTCATTCACTACATAAGCAGGGCTAGTTGCCTCTTCCGTGTTGAACCGAATGAGACATAGTCCCTGACTTCAGAGATGTTGGGAGACAGGCGACTAACAGGTGTTCACAGTGGTGTGAGCCAGCAGCAAGAGAAAGCGGAGGCCAGGTGTAGAAGGGACCAATGATGGCAGGATGCAGCGTTTCTCACACACATTGTATAGATCGCCTGCCATGGAGAAAACACACGAACACTTTCTTCTAATTGTTTAGTGGAGCAAACATGCTGCAACTCTGGACACGTGAGCTATGCACAATTAAGCCAAGATTAGGACCAAAATGCAAGTTCTTTTTTCTGATTTTGCACAAACTGTTCAGAGTCGGTGAAATTCACAGCACAAGGTGGTGATGGTAGGACTGCTTTGTGCCCTTGTGGGCATTTTCAGACGGCAGGGAACACCGGATTCCATCTGCTTCTCCCCTGGCGGCTTCTCTCTCGAGGTCTGGCTTCAGCTTTTATTTTCTCATCATCGCTGTAAATCCAAGCGACTAGTTGGCACACTCTGTGGAGCTATGTAAAAGTCACTCACGAAAATTTCCCATCTCTAGTTTTCTAAACTATTCCTGTTTAAATGTCTTCAAAACCCACTGGGTTGGCTGCAGGTACTTAGCTCTCTAAAGGCTTTTTCTTTTGTTCTTTGCCTTTCATTGTGAATTCGGTGAAGCTTTCCAGAGCAGATCATGAGCTTTACATTCAAGAAGTTAAACACACTTTGTGCCAGCTCAGCCATTGCCGTCGCCTTCACTTACCTCTTTCTCCCTGTTTTCCTGTGTCCGTTCTGTCTTTCCCAACCCTCTGAACGTTGTCCTTTGGGAGAAGCTGCCCCTTGAACCTTAGGTTGTTGATGATTCTATTCCAATAGTGAGTTTAGTCCCAGAGCGGAGGGGTGACCAAGGACCATATTCTCGAGGGCCCTACCTGTCTCTTTCTGACCAGGAAGCCTGGCCCTCTTTGAGGACTTTGAGTTTCGTTCCCCACTTTACGCAGTACCTTCTAATGTGCTCCCTTTGACTCTCTGGAAATATTGTTTGGATGTGAGGAGGGCTGTGTTTCTGCCAGGTATAAGAAGCCTGGATCTATTATTTCCAAACCAACTCCTCTCTCCACCCAAGTAAAATATTATATTAGTGAAGGGATTTCATTCTTCCGTGTTCATAAGACAATAGAGTCAAAATGGAATCACTCAATTCAGCCCAAGGCCCCTAAAATATGGGAGGACTCTCAACTCCTGGTTTTTGAATGACTCCCAGTGGCTCCATGCTTAAGGCAAAGGTCAGGTAAACTTCCCTCGTGCGTCTGTGCCCTTTTCCTTTCCTCGCCCTCCCATCATCCTCTTGAGCAGAAAGTAGCACCGCGTTCCTCTTGATGCAGGCCGGTGAAGGTGGTGGGAAAGAGCAGCGTGAAACTGGGAAAGGAGGTCTGAAAGAAAGGAGCCAGGAAGGCAAAAAGAGAGTTAATTATTTCCTCATACTTTGCCACTCCCTGAGGGC